CAAACTCGGAAAACGAAAGCACTAGGAAATTTTCTACTACTACGCCACATATTTACAACTGCCAAACAAACGCAAATTAAAACGTAAACAACATACGCTTATATGCACGAGGATTTAGCGTCACAAGAGCAATAGCAGCTCATTGGTCCATTTTCGAAACCCTTCCCTCAGTGGCTACGCTGATGTGCACTTGTGAAATGTGTTCTCCGGATTCGAACCCAGGCCCTTCGGCACGGCAGTCAGCGAACGCTAAACACTATATCGGTTGGGGGGCTGGAAACAATATTCGTACTATCAGATCACTTCTTTCTTCTTGAAAGCATGTCCTATTTTTATTGGAAAATGAGTATTTGCCTTTGAATAAAAAATCGGTACAAAGTACCCTTTAAAAAATACTAGTTTTCAGATTAATTAATTCGACGTACTTTTCTCTTTTGCTTTTTCAGTTAAATCAAATATCTGCTAAGGCTCGGTTAAGTTATTTTGCACTTGAAACTCGTTTTACGACAAATTTCATAAATTGTTTAAAAAAATGTATGTAACAAAATTTCCTTAAAAAGTTGTAGAGTTCCTCACTTTGTAATTCTAAGTTGATGTCGGAAGTGAAGAATCTTAAGAACTGATAAGCGAATAATCGCTTAAGTTCCGGTGACAAGAAACAACAAGAGAGAAGGGTAACTAACCCTTTATTATTCCAATAAGATTTACCAAAGTAGGCCTGTGAGTGTACAAACAAAGCCCTCACTTGGGCTTGAACTTAAGAGACTAAGAATTAAACTAAAACTAAGATTAACTAAAGAAGTATAGCCGAAGACTATCAAGGATTCAAATCGAGTTGGCCACGTTAACTTATTTGACTACGAAAGCTTAGCAAGGGCCTGAGTACGGCCGAAGCGTAATTAACAGCTTTGAGAGAGAAGAGTGGCCAAAAAAGCCAGAACGGGCGTAAATCAGAAACTCTGGATTCTCTCTGAATCAGTAACTTCGTTGTTTAAATACCGCTCCTCCTCATTAAATATTCAGCAAGATTACAAAACTATGTTCTGGCCGGAAGTAGTAAGTTGAAGTTAAGAATTCGACAGGAAAGGAACTTAAAATTTAACTGTTAATAAAATTAACATAATCCTTACAAAGTTAATATCCTCAGACTGAAAAGCGTCTACTTTATTTGGTAAGTTTCAGACTAGAAAATTTTAGAATTTCATCATTTTCTGAAAGCAGATCCGGTAACTAAATAAAAGAAAATAATAATGCAACCATAATGCAAATACAAAACACAATATTTCTTAGTTTAAAGAATAATTAAAATTGCAATGGCGTTCTTATTACATAAAATAAAAAAAATTACTGAAAAAATAATTAAGGATATATGTGTTGCTCTTTTTAATTGTATGCTAAGGATATATGTGTGTATTCTTCCTATAGAGTTAATTCATATTTGAAACTTTAGATATCGATCTTTCAAAACAAAATTTTTCCTACCTGTTCCACAAAATCAGCAACAATTTCAAACTTACGCGTCTGATTTTTTCGAGGTGCCAGCTTTCCTAGTTAAATCCTAGTCAAAAATTTCATCATTTCCATACACTGCAGTTAAAACATAGAATCCCTTCTTAATTAACGGCGATAATAAAAGAGTAGCGAATGATCTGCGCGCATCATAAAATAAATTAGGCAACGGTTAAAAAATCACGACCGCATCCGAGCCGAAAAAACGCCGCCAAGAACAGCCGAGCTTAATTAAGGTTCGTCGCCAAAGGATTAGGACGAACAACGGCCGGCAACAATTGCTGGGAACATTTTAATTTTCCTTTTCAGTTCCCCCATTTTTTTATTACATTATTGCTATTGTTACTGCCTCGGGTCCCATTAGGGCAGCGTCTTCAAGAGGAAACTCAATTAAAAGCCTTAAAAGACGAGTCCTTTCCATAAAACCATTTAAGCAATTGAGACGCGACATTTGGATGAAATAATAATCCGGGGGAGGGGGAGAAGAAAGGGGATGGAGGTTTTAAGGAATAAGATGATGCAGAAGACTTAGTGACAGATAGAAAGAAACGAAAGGGGTTTCAAGGCTTCACTCATAAAAGAAATGAAATATATTGTTGTATTTGGATTGGACTGTTGTTATGCATTCGGCTAACCAGTCATCATGTTTGAAACTGATGTTCTTCGCTTTGCTTGTCATTCATTAATTTTTTGCAGGATAGCTTTGCTTGAGAAATTTGTTTTGCTGGATGCAATGCAAGGAAAAGATGAGTGAGGTCTGGACAAAAGGGAACGTAAGTGTAACTACTCATCGTGATAAAATTAAATTAGAGAAACGTTGTTACTTATAAATACAAAAGTTTCACGCCAGCCTGAATGTTCATAATTGCTAGGAATATTAACCTTTGTCCGATTTTTATAAATGAAGGAAACGTTGATGGTATGGATCCAGGAGATTTGCTCTAACTTGAATATTAATAACTGGAAAAACACAAAGGTCGGATTTGATTTTGTTGATGAATAATACTACGTCGAATTTCGTATTATATGTAAATCACTTTAGAGAAATCATGTGCGAAATTATAGCATGTTTTTGCATAATGTAAAATGACGTGCTTGGAAAAGACTAAGCTCTGCTAGAAAAGTAAGATTACAAGAGTAAGTCTATTTAGCACTAAAGTAAATAGCCGTCTCGCGAAATTGGCGAGATATCACCAAGTCGGCGATGGTTTTGGCGTCTAATTTCTGTCGCCAAATTCTGTGAGAAACAAACAAAAGTCGTCACACTTTGCGACCATTTGGCGACATTTTATCCTGTCCCTGTGTAACTAATCATCACCTGTCGCATGTCTACTAAATATACTTTTATATATTGCTATGCCAAAGGGCCTGGGTTCGAATCCTGGAGAAGGCATGGTTGTTGCTGTCCGTCCCTGCATAGGAAAGGCGATGGTGGCCCACCTATTGGGTGCCTTCATAATAAAGAGACCACCACATATGGCCTTGTATAGATTAATAGACTGGGTTACATTTGTAATTGTTCACAATCTGCCATTGGAAAAAAATATATATATTTTATGTTCTCTGTTTTACATTCTGGCATCCTCTGTCTCCAAAAACGTAGCCATTTTCCGCCACCTAGAACCTTGTATGACCTACATTCTTAAATCTTACCTACATTCTTAAATTCTTCAATAAACGCAAAATAGTGTAGAGCGAAGGGCATACACCTGCTTAGCTCTGGTAGACGGTAGGTCCTCCGTCACCTGTATAACTGTCATTGGTTTTGTGATTAAATAACTGTAATAGGTCCGTATACGTAACTGTACCCTTATCCGGTAACTCCTTATGTAACTTTATATGCCTTTCATTAATTTCGAGAAATGGGAAGTACTAGAGATTTCTCGGCGGCCGGGGGAAGACTATATAAGCCCGAAGACACCATCGCTTCTCAGTTTTTCTCAATTCAGAGTCGACTATGGAGTATCGAGATATCTCCGTGTGAGCTTCGCTCTTTAGATACCCTTTGCATTGCATTGTGTTGTGTTTAACGATCTCAGTAGTTTGAAATGGTTACGACTGATTGTGCTATATGTTACTGAGAGGAGCTGTACGAGTATTTTTCTGGAAAGTTAAAGAACTGTAAAGTATTCCTTTTGGTAAAAATAAATTTTATTAAGCTATCACAGGTTCTGTGCTTATTAAGCCATACTTAAGCAACAATACTTTACTATTCCTTATGAGTTAAGCATAATTTCTTTGGCGAGAGAATAAATAATGACACATGGAATGGTTGAATGATAATACGAACAATAATTTAAGAAAGGAATTAGTAATAATATGCATAATCAATAATGTAATAATTTTATTCAGAAAAATTAAACTTACTTATAAGCAATTAATTGCTGAACATTTCATTTTTAAATGAAATTAAGCATCTTCATAATTTCTTCAAGTACCAGATAGTCTTCAAATGAGCACTGATGTCCTAAAGTTTGCTTAAGCATCGTTCGCATGGTGGTATTAAAATCATAAAGCATTGTCATTTAAGGTTTAAAAGTCCTTAAAATCCATTCATACCTGTTTTCAGTTTTTAATCCATAGTCAATCGCAGAAGAGAGAGTTGCGCATGCGTAAATGTGTAGCTTAACGAAACCATCGACCGACGTTTGCTCCGCTGTGATTGGTAGTTCTTGTACTAACTTGGCATAAAGTTGAAAATTTAGAACTTTTAGGCAAAATCCGTAAACCAGTTTTTGTAACGTAGCAAGGTCTGGTCGCTTAGCTAGGAAACTCAGCTTAAACCTGTTATGACTTTAAAACCATGGTGTAAACGATGCTTTAAATTAAATAACCAACCATTCGCAGTAGGAAAAATGGGTAAATACTCGTACATTAGAAACTCTACAAGTTGTGACCAATCAAAGATTCACGGTTTACTTCTCTAATCTTTGGAATTGTTATTGGTCAAGAGAATTTTTACTATTACGTCTACTGCGATATCCCGCTTTTACTTTGGTATAAACATTCGAATCTTATGAAATATGTTTATATCCTTAGTAGTGAGATATTTAGCGCAAACAGAGATAATCTGGTCTTTTTGGATTTAAAATGAGATTTCATGAATATGACAGAGGACACATAAGTCCTCTGTCACATTACGTTATATACATCATCCTACGTTATATACATCCTCTCTCATGAATATGAGATACGATACATATTAAAATAAATGTGACTAAATTTCTTGACATAATGTTTCTTAGAATAGAACTTTTCTGGAATAACATAAGAAGTTGATCGAAATTTAAATTGTTATCGTTATAAATATATACTGTTTACGTACCATTTTACTTAGTGCGCATACAGATTATCCATATTCACAATTAATCGATTAAGCATGAAATTATAAGTCTTAATTAAAAGCTTTTTTCTTTCTTTTGGTACTGTGTTCTTAATTTGCAGACAGTTTCAGAGGCACTTTTATGAAGAAGATCAGAAAACTGACTCACCATCTTTTCCACAAGAAAGGGAAGCAACGGAGGCTTGTAGGTCAGCCGTTCCACCGACGTCTACTTTCTCGTCTTCGTCGCTGGAATCATCCCCGGCGTCTCCGTGGTGCGCCCCCGTCGACGAAGCAGATGAAGGGAGGTGTTGGTGTTGCGCCCCTGTCTGAGAATGGTGCGGGGACTGGTTCTGTTGCTGGTTGAGGAGCATGGCCTGTCGCCTGGAGAACGGGACGGGCACGTTACTAAATTGGGAAAACGCCACACATCACATTCCTCGAGAGGAAAGTTACACCGCTAGGTCATTCAGTTCGGGGTTAAAAAAAAGTAACAAACACACTTCCAACCTCCGGTATTTAGCAACAACTCAATACAGTTTAGCAACCATTTAACCAGTTAACTGTGGCGCCCTCGTTTAAGAGCGCGCACCGTTTTGTGTCGCCAGAATCGAGCCATGACGAGTATATTCGGCCATCACAGAACAAGTTGCCCTGGTAAGATACTGGATGAAAAAGATAGGTTTATTTTATAAAATTGAAAATTTTATTACTAATATTTACTTATTTGGTTAACATAAGCATATATCACATGCATATTAAACTAAATACGCAATCAATTAAGTTAAATATTATATATATAAAAGCAAGAATTTTAATTTCTGCTGTGAAGTGATATTCTTCGAAACAAGGTACTATACACATTGGGGCTTTGCAAATCGAACATCAGTAACGCGATTCCTTTCTGATCTTACGTTTGTAGCAATGCGAACACCTTCGTGTAGTTTTTTTTTTTTTTTCAATGTTCCGGGTATATAATCCAGAACATGATTCCCGCCTAATTGGCTCAGCTTATGTCGATTAATTTTTTTCAATTGGATACGTCGCAAAAGTGTCTTCAATACATTTGAGCAAAAAGTTGATATGCGATAATGTTCCATTATTTGGTTTATATAATATGAATGCATTCAGACACATAATGTCTAAGAAATGGAGAAATATCTTTTTTGTAGTGCTTTTTGACCCCTTTTTTATGCTGTGGAGTAAGCTATGATAATTCCATCGCTCCTATCCACTCCACCCATTTTTTTATAAAATCAATCACTAGCTCGGTTTCTTTGTATTATTTGTTTCTATTACGTGTCATTATGTACAGTACTTACTAAATAAACCTCCTCTTATCTTTCCATTTCATTATACGCAAGACGAGTATACTCGTCAATACACAAAATCGTGAGGCTTCTCCATGACGAGTATACTCGTCAATCACAGTTAACTGGTTAAAGGTATAATTCATTGTTTTAAAACCCCCTTCTTTTTTTCATTTATTATTTTAGCATAGCACACGTACACCTGGGGCACGTGATGACATAGTCAGGGTATGCGAAAAAATTACCAGCAATGAAGGAAAATAACGTATTATAATAAGTGCTGAATAAAATCAAAATATTTGGGAAATTTAAATTTGGCATTGATTAGAAAGAGAATCAGTTTGACTAATTCCGATGTGAATGTTACTATCTGAAATAATGTTTAAAAGGAATGTAACAGGTTGTAGCTAGTCCCGTCGACTCTTGTCATATTACTGGACTCCCCATGCATCATATTTAACTTCATTGTATTAGAACGTATTACATATAACGATTGTACTTTCAGCATTTAATGAATAAACAAGTCAATCATGTAGTTCTTTTTTTTTAATTGAGATATGCAAATCAGTTTGGGAGCGTAAAGCTTTGTTTTAAATTCGTGTTTCTTTTAAATATGTCAGTCTCAAGTTATTGATGATATAAAAATGGATAAATAATGAAGAAGTAAATATTTTCATGGAATAGAAATATTTACTTCTTCATCCTTGCATCAAACAGTTCCGATGTAGCGTCTGCGAAGTTTTGGGAGACCAAGCTTGAAAATGCACAGTGATCATCATGAAATCATGAATCAATCATGATTCATCATGAAAATTTGATTCTACTTTTGTTTGTGCATGCATATTAAGAAATAAAAAGCATTTTATTATTTGCTTTGCTCAGGTTAAAAAAAAATCATTAAATATAATAGTTTTATTTCCAGTTTTATTTTTAAGGCATGAAATGAATGATTATTTGAGATTTCCTTTTGATTTTAGATGCACATCTTGTAAATGTTTAACTTAACCAAGCTTGTTTAACTTGACAGTCTTTTAGTTAAGAATTGTTGTTTTTGGAACTTTGTAATAAAATTTCTTCTCTTTCTCAGTTGTTATGCTCCAGAACTATAATTAAGCTCCATTGTCTTGTATAAGCCATGGTTAAAAGTTGGTTAATTTCAAATGCTTGGGAGAAATGTATTTTAAAGTGGTAAAAGGGATTAGAGGTAGAAATATTAACAACTGAATTTCAAAAACCATGTTTTTCATTTTAAATTTTGGAAGCGAAACTATGTACTCATATAAATGTTAAACACGATATAGAACTATAGTATTTTTAAGTTTCGTAAGTGAAAATTCATATCTTAATACCGTACACGGGAAAATTTGATTTAATATTATACACGAGAAAATTTGATTTAAAATTGTACACGAGACAATACAATAATTTAAAGTATTTTTTCCTTATTAAAATTTAAAAAATTGAATATGAAGTTATTATTAAATTATTAGTAATTGTTACGTGGGCTACTTACAGACTTTTTAAGTCTCAATTTGGGAAGTTTTATTTTTACTGCAAGCTATAATATACGGCTTTCTTTATTGATAAAAATTCCTTCTATGTCTTTTTAATTTTGCTAACTTAATACTAATATATTTTACGGCTTGACAATTCTTAGCATATTTTGTGTGAGGTATGAGTTGCAAATGTATGTGAGGAAGACGTTTTCAAGTTTATGAAAGGTATATTTATTTAACGATATCCAAAATAAACTTAAACCACTTTTTATACTTCCTTCTTTCACATATTGTTTAATATATAAAATTCAGAAACATCCGAAATTTACTTATTAACAATGTATGGTCGAGATTTTTATATATTTTAAACTGCAATAAAATAAAACCGAGTCAAACTTAGCTCTTCAGATTCTCTGCCGCAAAATAAGGTGTTGTAATGATGCACATTAGATGCGACTAATAAGAAGCATGAGAGCAACCTAATGGAGAGGGCTGGTAGAAGGGGACATCCAAGAAGTGCTTGAAACTTTGAGTATTTGCCCCTTCTTCTTTGAACTCCCGAAGGAGTTCTGGACTCTGAGAGCTCTGTCAACACAACTCTAACCTGTCTCTACTAAACGGCAATTCTAACAGCACGCTTTTCAAGCCCACAGGCTGGAGTCTGGAAACGGAATGATTGGAAACCATTAAGTTGAAGAGTGTTGAACAGAGGCGGCTGGACATTAGACAGAATGAGCGGTCCCCCTGTTTTATTTGAACAGAATGGGTAGGAAACAAAGTGGCCTCGGCGGTAAAAGAATTGAAATTTCAATTTCGCTCGGAAATAATAAAGAAATTTTACCCGTGAAATTGCAAAGATGGGCCAGATTGTTGCAGAACTTAGTTTGTTTTAACAAATTTAATTTGCTTACTTTCTGAAATTTTGAGAAAAGAGTTCAGTAATAATGAAGGGATATTTAAATACGACTTTTGATAATCTCTACATATAATAAAAGATAGAGTCCGTGTGTGTCTTTCGTTTGCGCTGGGCGTAAGCTAATAGACCCACGCCTATGAAATTTGGTACATAGGTCCATCTAGACAAGAGCCAGTGCACCTCGAAGCGATTTTTTCGAAATTCCAATTAGAATTTTTTTGTTTTGTGACGAAATCGCGTCATTTTGAGACACAATGGGCTATAGGAAAGCGAGATTTTACTCTACACACTCCATTTTCACATCGTCATGAACCGTAGGCACTTAGCTATTTTACGAACTTAAAATAAATTTCGTGTTTCAATAAATCGATTAAATGCGAATTTATTTCACTAAGGGCTTAATAACCAATAACACCTTTTCAACGGGATTTTTTTCTAAAAAAGTTTATTTTAAAAATGTAAATTTATTTTTCTTGATTTTTGGACACGGTTAAACTTTCATCCTTGCGACTGCTTTTACAAAAAAAGAATTCTGGAAAAATGACAAATTTTGTATTTTTAAGAAATTTTTTAAATGAAGCTTCCGAGTACACTTCTCACATCTTTAAAAATGTGATTTTCGCAATAATTTTCCTCTTATTGTTGTTGATAGATTTTTGTTGAAATCGCATCATTTTGAATAGTTTCATTCTTTTAGAAAAAGTTTGGCAACAATTTTTCATCGTATTTCTTATGTCACTGTTTTTAAGAAATTGACATATTTCATTGTCATATATATAATACATTTTTATTGATTTTTTTTTTTTTTGATAAAGTTGTTCTGCAGAGTAAAATTCTGCGCGGAATTTTTGAGTGGAATGATTTTTGAGTTGCTTTCGTGTTATTTTTTGTTTATTTCACTGTTTGTAAGATATTGAAAAGTTTTGCATGATTTTTTTTCTTTAACAGAAAGTTGGTTAATTTTTATTTTATAATTAATATTTGTGTTAAGGGATATAGCTTATTCATAGTAATTTTTTTCTCTTGAAAATATAAGATAAATATCATTAATTATACTTTGCTTTTCAGAATTTTTTGTTTTTTGTATTCTTTTTATGTTATTTATTGCTCATTTCACTGTCTTTAAGTTATTGAAAGTTTTGAGTGATTTTTTAGGAAACAAAGTTCTTAAAACTCCTTATACCATTTGAGTTCTTAAGATTTTGCAAAGGGAAGTTGGTTAATTTATTTATTAAGATAATTAATATTTGTATTAAAGGATATTGCTTATTTCATTGTAATTTTTTTATACGTAACAACTTTTTTTTTTTTATGAAGTTGTTCTGCAGAGCAAAATTCTACGCAGTTTTTAAATTTAACGGTGTTCACTTCAGCCATTTTTCCGCTACATTTAAAAGCCAGACGATAGCTGGCAGCGAAGCTGCTAGTAATTGACATAAATATGGCTTTAAATCGTCATTAGTATAAATTAGTTCTAAAACATTAGTGGCAAAGAAAAATTAATTTAATATTAATTTTAAAATAATGGATTTTGATATCAGTTAGCGTGAATATTTTTAAAAAGTAGTTCGCAATTCCAGTTGCACTTCCTAAAGAAATAAATTTTCCTAACTGAAAAATTGTTAGTAAGATATTTTATTGTGTCCAATATTTTAGCTTAATTATTTCATAAGCTTTATCATTTGT